TGAGATTACATGTTGAAGTATAGCAAGGTTTTGTGTTGGGACCGGGGCGACATAGTGGCGCAGTGAGTAGCATGATCGCCTCACAACAAGAAGGTTGCTAGGTCCAGCCCCAGCTGGGTCAGTTGGCATCTCTGTGTGGAGTTTGCATGTTCTCCCCGTGTTGGCATAGGCTTCATCCGGGTGCCCTGGTTTCCCCCACAGTCCAAAGACATGCGCAAGCCAAAAATCAGGGTGACCAAAATCAGGGTGAGATTGCATATGCTGTGTAAAACATATGCTAGATAAGTTGGCGGTTCATTCCGCTGTGGAAAATGAATAAATGAAAGTCTTCACACCTTCAACTTTTTTCCATAAAACAAATGAATTTCTTTCTTTCTTCTGCTTACCAGGGGTGCTTTTACAAAAACCATCGTTAGCTAACCAAGGTCGCAAGTTGCGTCGTTACAAAACTAGTTTGTTTACTTGGTGTTTCCCACATCCATCATTCCAACGAACATTCGCAAACTGGTACGCGTACAACTACATCTATAGAGCTGTAGTTAGGTGCACAATTTCTAATTTGTGTTCTATTCTTATCCCCCCTATGCCCTATTCATTTAGAACATTCCAACATTAAAAGTGCATTAAATGATAAAAAAAAAAACATTAAAGTTATCGCTCTTAGGTGTAATTTGTTTTTTAAAGTATTTTTACAGTTCAGTTTTGCGCTCCCTTTGTAGTGCAATTTGAAAACATTTGTGCCATCTGGAACACAGCCCTAACTCATGTCGAAAACTATAGGTGACCTATTATTTGAAAGTGGAATTTACGTTACGTCTTGCTTGTGAAAATATTTAGCATACGTTAATAATTCTATTTTATAGCAGGCCTAGATTATTTATTAAGAAATGTATCTCTACAATATATGATATGAGCCTGTTGGTTATAACATTTCTGCAGTGGTTTATATATGTCAAATTGTAAACGTAGACTTTTCAAAAAAATAAAAATAAATAAATAAGCAATATCCTACCTAAAAATAATAATAATAATAATAATAATAATAATAATTTCTTCATTTTATAATAAATAGCCTACTGTAAATTATGTCTACAACCATAAGCAATTTATATGATTTATTTTAGCTTAGAGAATATTCCCAATAATATTTGTAAAGCAAACATATATATGTCTTAAATGTATCGTTTACCCATATTTTAATTAATATGGAAAACGTGTGCATGTTTTTAACAAAACTAATATTGGATTTGCGTGTTGGTGTAAAACAATCAGTGGCGGATTTAGGCATGAGCAATATGGGCGATCGCCCAGGGCGGCATCTTGCTGGGGGTGGCACAGGGAGAAGGTGCAAAAATAAAAGCGTCCCCTTGTAAACGCATTGAGATACGATTTAATTTTTGCAAGTCTATTAATTTAGAGTGGCAATCCCAGAATAAAGACTTTAGGGTACGTTCACATTTGGCATCTTTTACACACATCTGTTATTCTATGTGCAAGCGAAACAACACTGGTTAGAGCACAGTGACGCATGCTCACAGAAAACCTTTTACGCCTCACACGCTCCTGTGTAAATCCTGGTTCTTTGCATGTACACCGATAAAATACAAGCTGCCCATGCATGATGAAATCAGAGTAAAAGCCTTTTATGTAGAGGTGTTGGCACATAGTGAGTTTTGCAAGCCGACAAAAGAAAAGTTTATGTAATATAATGTTGATGATACTTTCACTAAGTATGGCTATAAAGCAGAAAGTAAGGATGAAGAGTCAGGGAGGTAGGACTTCATAACTAATTCTCAGGCATGAGTCGGGTCTAAGACAACAGATAATTCTATATATATATGTATTCTATAGAACTGTCATAATTAATATACATGAAAAAGATTTCTTAAGTCAGTGCTGCTCAACCCTGTTACTGGAGATCGACCTTCCTGCAAAGTTCAGCTCCAACCCTGATCAAACACACCTGAACCAATTAATTAGGACCTGAACAGCACTTGATAATTACAGGCATATGGGTTGCAAATCGGCAGGAAGGTTGATCGCCAGGAACAGGGTTGGTCACGCCTGTCTTAAGTGAAATTAGCATATCACTCCAGTTGTTTTCCATTGTTTTATTTATTTTGAATAATAATTGTTTATAATATAAATAAATATTAATCAATTGTTATATTTATTGAAAAAATAAATTTAACAATAGAGGCGGCGTGGGTGTATGGGGTGGTTCGGCCAGGGTGCCATTTAAGCTAGAACCGCCACTGAAAACAAAATCATTCGCACAACAAATTGTGCTTTTTTTTTCTCTAAAGAAGTTGTCACTACACCCCGTTCAGAACGTCTTCATAGATTATAACTAGCGCTGTCAAAGTTAGTGCGTTAACGCATGCGATTAATTTTAAGTGAAGTTTATTTATAAACAAATTTCGAGAGGATCACGTGCTTATGATTGTTCACAGCTGTTTCAACTTTAGCTGATGACTGATTATCCTATCAGACGATTCTTAACTCACTATAAATAGCCAGACTTTTCTCATCTCAATATCTTCGTCTTGAAGAAACCCCCCACCCAACCCTACTTTCCCTCCTTTCAAACGGGCGTCACGGTGGCCAGCGATTAGCGCTGTTGCCTCACAGCAAGAATGCCCCTGGTTTAATTCCTTTCCAAACCAGACGGCATTTCTGTGCGGAGTTTGCTCATTTTCCCCGTGGTCGCGTGGGTTTTCCCAGGGTCTTCAGGTTTCCTCCCACAGTTCAAAAACAAGCACTCTAAACAATTAATTCAAATACTTTAGCTAAACTCTGAGTACACCTTTCAGCATCCATATCTGACACTTAGCTACAACAAGCAAGAGAGGGAGTCATCGAGATCTACCTGAGCTCAAACTCCCCTCTCGCTTTGCAACGGGAGGGAGCCCAGGGCTCGAGGATCTTATAAGCTCAGGGCTCTCTCCCGTGACAGCACGCCAAACTAGCTTTATTATCAATCATCAGCTAAGTGTGAACTCTTGAAATAATTAACGCGTAAAAAAAAAATTATGCAATTAACGCAGTTGCAGGTTTTTTTTACTTCCTGTTGTGGTGGACGTGTGTTTAACATGCAAGAATATGGATAAGACCAAGGAAGCACTTTTTGAAGGCAAGTTTCAGTATAAACAATTAGTCGCATCACCAGGCTCTCCAAAGTTTCATGCAATTTCGGGTGTTTCATTTTTAACTTTCGACTTCTGTTGTAAGTTGATACCGCATGGCGAACAGAAAGAAAATCTTCCGCATTTCATGACTCTGTGTTCCTTTAAGGTAATAAAATCACTGCTTAGGCTACACGGTAGAATTTTAATAAGAGTATAATCTTAATCATATTAAAATCAGAGTATTGGTGTCTTATGTGAATGTACTCAGAAAGTCTCTGGTGAAGTCGCGAGCTGTCAAAGACAGGGCATAACCAATCCCTAAAATAACTAATTAACTAATAATAGCTAATTAACATTAACTAATGACTAATTATTAATAAGCAGCTAAAAAGGAGGTTATTGATGCAAAAGTCATAGTGAATGGTTTATGTCAGAATTAGTATATCAGTTCAATTATGTATGACGTAACGTGTCATTGTTAAAATATGAAACATGAAAAAAAAAAGAGTATACATATTAATTTGTTCTATACTATATGAGCGCTGGTTAATCGTTGCTTTCGAAAACACTATAGGGTATATGCCGAGCTAGTGCTGTTCCCATGCTGATACATCTCCGGTGATCTGTTATTGTGAACTTTTTTCCATTTTATACGGTTCCTTATACAGCATCGATGTTGTAATGTCATTAAAATACATTCAGGTAAATAAACTTTAGCATTTATTTGGTTGCTCAAGCGTAAAACGAGACAAAAAGCTGTTTACTCGCACGCGCCCGTCAGAATCGGCAGGCTAGTGCAGAAGCTCCATTGAATATACTGGGGTAAAATAAATGGTCATATTATAAAGATATGGCAGGGGAAATGTAATTTAATGCAGTGCTTCTTGTACAATCTGAGACCCACTTTAAATCGGATATCACTCAGCCAGTGGAGATCGCTGATTTTTAAAGAAAACAGACCTTAAACGCACCGGATTTTGCATTGGCATTCAATTCGCTGGAAGCGCTTAACCCAGTTTACTGTCAAATTAAAAGTCCTATTAGCATGCTTCGGCATATACCCCATTGGTTGGGTTTAGGGAAGAAGGAGGGTGGGTTAGTCTGTCAGTCAGTCAATCAGTCAGTCAGTCAACAGCGGCCTCTGGTGGATTTACACAAGAACAGCAGGAGTGAATGGCACACGAGAGAGAAATTTGAGATCTGAAAAAGTGTACACAGCGGATTTGCGAAAACAAAAACTGCAAAAAACATTCACCATGTATGTTAAGGATCTGGAACTACATTACAGCCACATAATAACATTTTAATTTCTCTCTTTTAAAAATCATTCATTCTTGAGTGCACATCTGGACGCTATAGCTTTTTGAAGGATCTTCACCCATGAGGTTAAAACAAGCTCCTCTGTCCACAGATCATACTTCACCACACTCTGAACGGTCACAGTTTTCACCTAGAAATGAATCTGCTTTGGTGATTGAAACTGTGGCTGCATTATTACTCACCGGTGGCTCTGTGAGTGTGTGTACGTGTCTGTCTTGTGTGTTTTAATGACGCATACATCCTTTATCTGCAGTCTGCACTTAATCCCAGCACTGCTGGCTCAGGAACAGATTACTGACAGCAGATGTGATGAGAGCAGAGCAGGGGAACCCGACACACACACACACACACGCACACACCTCCGCTTCTCATTATGACAGAACAGTGCAGCCATTTTCTCACTGCTCTGTTTGTTCTGAGCTTCCATCTTTGCTCTGGTTATTGTCTCCTTCTCAAAACACGTCTGCGTTTGACAGTAAACATTTGTGATGTGAATTTCATGATCTCTGCTCATGTGTGCGCATGTGTGTGTGTGTGTGTGTGTGTTCACAGGATGAGCAGATACAGCGGCTGGAAGAGGAAGTGTCCAGGCTGAAATCATGTCAGCAAAGTTCAGTCAATCCGCAGGTACTTGTCTTTACTATCGTGCACTCTTGGTTTGACTTTTCAGTCTGTCCCACAACTCCCAGTATCCATTCATTCATTCATTCATTTTCCTTTGGCTTGGGGCCCTATCATACACCCATTGAATGTGGCGCAAGGCGCGGCGCAATAGTCTTTTGCTACTTTTAGCTCGGCGCAAGGATCATTTTGAGGTGTTGCGCCACACTGTTTAAATAGCAAATGCATTTGTGCTCAAATGTGCGCCCATGTGTGTTCTGGTCTAAAAAAGCAGGTGTGTTTTGGCGCGTTGCTATTTTGAGAAACTGTAAATAGTCTGATCTTTAGACCAGAACAAAGTCGGTCTATTGTCTGGCGCAAAGTGCGCCTGGCTTACACACTACAAACAAGATGCAGAGCAATACGCAAATATCTTTACACGTGAGAAAAATATAATATCTTAAGGATATATATATATATATATATATATATATATATATATATATATATATATATATATATATATATATATATATATATATATATATATAATGATATATACAGGATATAAATATAAATGATTAAAATATTACAAAACATATTCATTTCTAGCCTGCATGAAGATTTAAAAACCACTGCCTTACTTTCTTCATCTCGGGAGGCTTTTTCAGTTCATTCAATTTGCTTTTGTATAATGTTATTATTATTAGCAGTATTATTTATTATATCCATATTTATATTTGTTTTATTAAAAACAAGCTTAGATTTGTCCACCTGTCAAATTTTAGACCATATGGGGCATGGCAGGTGTATTTGGAAATAACTCAGTATTTTAACCACACTTGGTTATTATTGTTCATTTATTCGTTTGCTGGAAATTAGAACTGAATTTAGAAATAGTTTTGAAACAAATCTTTGCGCTTAACAAATGAAATTAATTATTTATAGGCTAATTGATGTCTGTGCGTAAAGGTTTCCCTATCCACGAGAGCAAAAGTGAAAGTGAACTTACTTTACGTCAAAATGCGCTTATGGCGCGTCGCAGCTGGCTCTTAAAGGGAATGGGAGATGAGGCTCTAATTGGTTTATTCTCAAAACACACCTATAACTCATTAAGAAAATAAACTCAACCCTTTTAGACCATGCGCCATGGCGCAAATCGGATTTTCCCGTCCTTAAATTAGCAAAAATGCATTCGGACACTTCCTGAAAGCGTTTGCGCCCTGCGTTTTGCGCTCTGCGCATGGACCGTCAAAATAGAGCCCTTAGTCTCTATTTCAGGATCGCCACTGCGGAATGAACCGCCAGCTCCCAGTGTTAACCTGCTAAAATAAACATTGCTAGTTTAATATTTAAAGTTTTAAAAGTGCTTTGAAGTGTGCCTTTTTGTTTGATCTGTGAGGTCATTTCTACTAAAAAATGAAGACAGGGTGGGGTATATTGTAGCTCCTCCCCTTTAAAAAATACCCAAGATTTTACTTGAAGTATATCAGAGCCATTCAAATCATTATTAGCAAAGTCATGATATCCATGCAGGACTTAATACCATATCTATTCATGCTGCATCCCAATTCACAGCCCATCAGTTCGAAGTATTCAAAATGACTTGGAAGGAACTTTTGTTTTATAACCCACATGTTGAAAAGACTATCTTAAGAGTGCTCAGAGCCTATGTCGATTGTTTGTGTGGAAACCCAAAGTGCTGGTCCATGCAAACTGTAATGGCTATTATTCAACACACTGTGCTTTTATGGTGCATTCAGTTCACAAGTCCAAAAAAAAAACATGCTTAAAAAAGTGCAAGAGCATAAAGTAGAGTGATTTAGATCAAATGATTACAATAATTCATAATCGATACTTATATAACCTGCAACAGTGTTCGCACTTATGAAAAACATGTCTTTAACCATTAACTTTTAAAAAGCTCTTTATGCAAATGCTTGAGATTCTTTGCATGAAAGACTCGAGTAGCACATCAACCTGACAGTTTTCCCTCCGCTAGGAATGATTATTGCTTAAATGAACTGAAATGTGTGAATGCGAGGATGTTTAATGTGATAATGATTGGCAGTCTACTTTATAATGACAGAACGAATATAGTTATGGTCTGGTAAAGATGCAATTATGACTAAGATGTAGTATGTCCCAAAACTTGCCAACAATTACAATAGTGTCTACTTTTTATTTAAAAAAAAAGAGCTCATATTTTTAGAGCAATATAAGTAGGCAAAATGAGACATAATCTGAATCATCGCAAACACATTCATGCTCAGGTGACACTTTGCTGTACTTGAAGGGCTGTTCATAAGTCTGTCATGACATATATCATATCATGGGATTTTATGTATTCTTATGACAAATGTCATTAAGTGTCATTCACTCAGTTATGCTATTTTAAATGCTAAGGTGACATTGTTTAAGATTACTTAACGTAAACAAACAGATCACAACCTCTCTTTGTATTTGTCGTGGCAACTTGACATTATCAAAACAACATAACTTGTCATAAATCTGTCATAAACATGATTGTCATGAGACCATTATTATAATTATTGTGTCATTAATTTTATAACAGCATCATAAATGCTTTTTATTGACCGCAACTACAGTGGTACAAGTTGAAATTGTCTTTAAAATGTAATCATGAGTCATTAAATATTAATGATGCCATTGCTTATTATTTAAAGGAGGTATTGACATTTTTACTGAGAAATGACATGACAGTTCCATTAACAAAAAAGCGATCAGAAATATTCGTGGCACAATTATATTGGCCTCATGGCAACAGTCATGTTTATGACACATAATGTTGTCTTGGTCATATCAAGTTGTCATCACAAAGACAGGTTGTAATATATTTGGTTGTTAAAGTTAATTGTTTCTTCAATGCACAGTGATGTAGATGGGTCAGTTCTGTATAAATTGAGTAATAGATCATAACCGGTTATTACATACTGACATCATTTATCTCATATGCGCTATGTCGCAGTAGCATACTATGGCAATAGACTGATTTCATGCGGCTGCCATTTTAAAATCAAAATCAAGGCTGCTGTGGGAGGAAACCCGGAGGTATTGACTATTACAAGTATTGAAGTATTGACGCTGTGTACCTGGCTGTATATCCAGCCTGATCTCACGAGAAAACGTAAGTATTTTACGTTTTGCCAGTTTAGTGGCTAATTCGTACGAATTAGTTCAGTTGTACGAAATGGTAAGATTTTAAAAAGGAAGCGTGGCACCTAACCCCACCCCTAACCCCAACCGTCAGTGGGGGATGAGCAAATCGTACTAAATTGTACGAATTAGATCGTACGAATTCATACGAATTAGCCACAAAATGAAAAAGTTACGAATTGCTGTGAGATTGTGTTGGTATATCCTATCAGCGAAGAGAAAGTGACACAAATTTCTAATTTTATCGCCGTTCTAGTCCGTTCTGAATGGATAGTGAAAGTTAAAAGGGATATTAAACCTTATTTTCAGCTTATATAAGATAAATGACAATAGTTAGCTATCATTTTCTTTCCCAAACACACATTTTAGATGCCATTTATCAAACCCAGAGTATTGAACTGATTCCTTAACAATATTAGACTTGTCACGATACTGAATTTTAGTACTGAAAAAAAAACATGTAAATTTCCCGCTAACATTAATGCGCTGTTGAGCGTTTCTTAAACACCACTGATTTTGTCATTGTGTTCAGATGCTCAACAGATATGACTGTGATTGGCCGTGAAGGTTGTCAGTTCACCGCTCTTCACCGATGTTTACCAAGTTTAGACGAGTGATCTGCTACTGAATCGACTGATGTTTGCGGCTTTAAAATGCTCCAGTGTCCATGTATCTGTGTTTGCACTCGGTGAAGTGCAGTGAACTGATGACCTTCATGGCCAATCACAATCATTTCTGTTAAGCACCGGTGAATACTATGACAAATCAGTGGTGTTTAAGAACGTGCTCCTCAGCACCTAAATATCAGCAGGAAATGGTCATTTTATTTAATTTCAGTACCTGGACAACACTATGGACTGATTTCAACCGGCCACCATTTTAAAAGCGAAAACGAGGCTGTGGTGGGAAGAAACCCGGAAATATTGTCTGAATAATCATAGTTATTATTTAATAATCATAGTATGAAGTGCAGTGAACTGAAGACCTTCACGGCCAATCACAGTCATTTCTGTTGAGCACTGGTGAATACTATGGCAAATCAGAGGTGTTTAAGAACCCGCGCTGCATCCCATAAATGTTAGCGAGAAATGGAAGTTTTTAAAAATGTCAGTATCGTGACTTAATTGTTTTATCGTTCACCAGGTTACATAAACTGAAGCAGGGAAGCTTCCTCACAGGGTTTACATTGTGCCATGAACTGAAGCTTAGGAGGAAACTTAAGCTTATTACTTCTACAGACATGGTGATTTTATTTGATGCCTAATATGCTTTTATTTGTTTAAATTGTTTAAACTGAATGATATTAAAGTGATGGTTACACCATTTCTGCACTTTGAACTCGTGGCAGCAGCTGGAGATTTGTAGTCCACTGCATGTTGTTGTAATTTTTACAGTGCTGATACTATATTACAAGTTTTTTTCCACTGCAGCCTCACTTTCGTGTTTCAAAATGGCGGTCACATGAAATAAGCATATGTAGGCGATGCATCGTGATTAAAATACTCCAGTTACTTAAAAAGCCAACAACTGTGCACAGTTTACAGCTTGTAGGTTCGAACCATCTTTAGAACCTAGGAGCCACAATATCATTGCTATGTGGGAAATGATAGCTTTAAAGCTCCATCTCTCTCTTTCTCTCTCTTTCACTGTGAACCTTTTTACCTGCTGGTGTGTCAGTGAGGTAACATTTCCTCTCCTCTCCAGACTATTAAAGCTATACTTGTTGATCCAGGCACAAGCGTGTCTGCAGAGTGAGTTTTCTCCACAACGTCTGTCATAGATCAGGTTTTAGATAGACGCAGCACTCTTCAGTGTCTGTGTCACCTCTTGGAGAACAGCGCTGATAGTTA